CTTGGTAGCCCAGGCTGGCCTTGAACTCACAGAGATCCGCCTGGCTCTGCCTCCCGAGTGCTGGGATTAAAGGCGTGCGCCACCACCGCCCGGCATCCATTTTTTTTTTTTAATGTTCTGGGAACCAAATCCATAGACTTGTACTTGCTAGGCAAGCACACTACTTCTGAGGCTACAATCTCAAATCTGAGGGCCTTAAACATCTCTTCTGCCCCCCCCCACCCCCTCACCCCCTGCATTGCCCATCCTCTGATGTATACACGCCAGTATTGAGATTCTTCAGGAATCCGCTTTGAGTTTCTATCTATGTCTCCTTTCTAGATATATTTCAAATCCTGATGTGTCCAAACTCCATGCTGCTGGCATTCCCCCTTTCTCTGGAAAGCACTGCCTTCCCAAACATCGACCTGCATCTCCAGGGAAGTGCTCAAAAGAGAGTTCTCTTTTTCCATCCTCTCATCCCACTTGCTGAATCTGCTCTTGGTGGTTGGTGTTCAACCCTGATGAGGAGCGTTTTGCATCCTCTACAGCGAGGAAGTTAGAAAGCAGGCTTTCCTTTGATCGGCACAGGCCGGTCACTAAACCCTGGGAGTTTAACTTTGGAGGGTAATCTCTCAGCTCTGCTGCCCCTCCACCCATAATGCCCTGGCTCAAGCCCTCATTTCTCCTAGCCGGACTCCTGCACCACCTACAACCTACTCCCGAATGTCCCCTCGTGTTGTCTCCTTAGAAAGCCATTATAACCAAGGCACACTCCGCTTTGAAATCCCCCGTCTGGTCCACTGCCTGCAAAACTGGTAAGATGTTCTGGCGCGGCACACATCCCTCTTGACAAACTTCGTCTTCATCCTTATCACCTCGTGCAGCTACCCGGAGCTCTTAAATCAGCATGCCGCTTTCTTCGACAATTTGGGAGCAGGAAGACTTTGCACACGTCTCCACCATTTTCTGGGATATGCTTCTGGCCTGTGATGGGCAAGCTCAGTTGTATTTCGAGACCTCACCGGCACTGCAACCCCTCTATGAAATGGCCCTTTTTCCCAGCCAACCATAAGTGTAATGCTGCCCTAATCTCTCATGGCAATTGTTTGGATTTCTATAATACCATATTTGATTTTAAGTTTTATTTTCATATGTAAGTCACTCCATATGCTTTAAGATCCAGGGTGTTCATAACCTGTGTTCTCCTCCCCTTTTTCTAGTATTACTTCGGGTTGTTGTTGTTGTTGTTGTTGTTGTTGTTTTGAGACAGGGTTTCTGTGTAACAGCCCTGGTTGTCCTGAAACTCACTCTGTAGACCAGGCTGGTCTCAAACTCACAGAGATCCACCTGCCTCTGCCACCTGAGTGCTGGAATTAAAGGCGTGCGCCACCACTGCCCCCTTATTTTCTTTATCTACCTCCAAGTATTGTCATGGTGTATGTAAGAGTCTGAATTTGTAAAATATAAAATATAATGAATAGACATGATTATTAACAGTAATAGAGTATTACTCTGGATGGTCCCTTCCTCTCTATGAAGGGAGTTTTCACAAGTGTCCATCAGGAGATACCAAGCTCCACCAACCATTCAGCCATGAAATTTACCCTACCTGAATAACTTCTTTTTTTTTTTTCCAGAAAAGATCACACTATGTGCCTCTGGCTAGTCGGGAACTTGCTATATAGACTAGATCCACCAGCCTCTGCCTTCCAAGTGCTGGACTAAAGAGAAACTCTGACATGCCCAACCCTGCCTGGAATTATGAATGCTAATGGTCTCTTGAGCATAAGCTTTGCTCACTCTAACCAAAGTCAAGTGCCTGAGCCACACGGAAGTTCCCTGTGCACACCAACTGTTTAGTCCCTCACTTCCCCATTGTATCTGGCTCAGGGATAGGCACTGACGAGGCCCTGGAGTGTACTTGTGAATGGAGGAGCAACTGGAAGAAACCCAAGATGTCTCCAGGGGTCAGCGTGAATGGCCAGGACATGGTAGCGTGGATTTCCCACCAGCGTGCTCCTGGTCTAAACTTCGTGAACTTATTTTGCAATCCCGTATTTATCCCCAGCTCATTCTCATTAATGCCCTGTTAACAGCCTCATTTGAAGTGTGGCCACCCTGTTCCACACGGAGAGCACATATGAGTTCTATTTAAATGTCTTCAGAACTCCTCAGAGAAGAGGTGCCTTTATCCCACATTTGCACATTTAAAATTTATTTCTGACATCTTAATATGATTATTTTTGTTCTAGTAAAGCGTTGGAGCAGAAAAGAAAAATAACTGGTTAGGTTTCTTCCCCCCAACATTAAAAACAAAGGAAATAGCCAACTCTTTGGAAGTGAGTTGTTTGGGGTAATATTTGAGGTCTTTCTGAGTGAAACAATTAGTCATTTCTAAAAAATAAAGACCGGAGGATTGTGGGGAAACAGTGTGCTGAGGCTTTTGCATTAGTATGGGGAGCTTTCCTACTCCAGGAAGGGATGATACCAGAGACCCACTCTATAATGGGGGGGGGCCTGAACCCCAGCTTCAGGCCCGACCTGACTTTCACCTCCACTCATCCACTTGTACAATTTAGGCAATTTCTATGACACTGCTTCCCCGTGTGTAAAATGAGGATAATAACAGTGCATACCTTATGTTGACATTGGGAGAATTCAAAGAAAAAACTCTAGAAACCACAGTGTATACACACTAGACGTTAAGTCCTGATCTACCGGCAAGCATCGTCCAAAATGATTGAAGTCACCTGTGTCTTTTTTTCCAGCCTTGTTCCATTCCATTTTCACTTAAGACTCTGTGTGTGTGTGTGCGCGCGCGCGCGTGCGTGCGTGCGTGCGTGCGTGCGTGCGTGCGTGCGTGTGTAGCTCATGCCAGGAACTCAACGAAAGTACTCTTTTTTACGGATGAGAAGGTAAGATGGGGAGGAAGGACTCTTTCTTTCGGATTTGAAGAACGTCTAACTCAATCAGATTTATTCCACTCACTTCCTTTCTGGGTCCTCCGAGCCCACCTGTCCTGCAAACCCTCCCCCACACTTTTCTCCATCAGGAAAACTCTGCACCCCCCTCACTCCCCCTCTCCCCCTCCCATCGTGTGCCCTTCTTCCTCTGGAATGGCTGTGCCCTTGCTCCTGGCTGTCTTCAGACAGAGTAAGTCACCCAAAGGCACTGAGCAGCTAAGACTAACAGAACTGAACTCCAGTCTAGCCCACAGCGCCCCCAAGGCAGCAGCTTCATCCCCATCAGTGAGCAGAACCTTTAGTGGAATTCTATTCTGAATACGCCAGTGAAGTATTCCTAAAATCCTTAGGAAAGTAACAGCTCCTGTCTTTGCTGTGTTTCTCCGTGCTTCTGTGATGTCAGCAGCCCCCCAAATGGTCTGCACACGAGGCCCTCTGGAGATCTAAAGCACTCAAGGTCCAAGGTGCCTCCACAGCAATTATCCTGAAATCTCCAAAGGATGACACGAGCCCTTAATATTTTACTAAGTTTCTCCCCCAAGATTCAATACATAGAAGCTTTCTGGAAATAGTGGCTTACAGTAATGTCATAACGCAAACACAGTAAAGTCTGTATTGTAATTATTAATATACCACTGGTTATAACTTGTAAGCTAATTGTTTTATTAAATTTCTGCTCCCCATAGAACTACACAAAAGGAATAGCACAGAAGACATTATTAAATGATTACATTGATTTACTTAGGTTCTAGCCACTCAGTGAATACAGACAAGTTAATGAATCGAGACAGCAGGCTTGGGATGATGAGTATTTTGGGACAGGAGCCCCTCAGTAGAAAAAGCTCTGGAGTTGTGGCTGCACATAATGAAAACAGAGGACATGATCTTATCTCCCATCACACGAAAACTAAGCCAAGAATGATGAGTCTTTGATTTAATTCTTCTAAGAAAACTGGGTCTAGGCTTAAATGGGATAAATTTTAGAAAGTAAATCCTAATGACTCAGAATGGAAGATTCTGGAATTGTAGCTAAAGAAAGACAGAGAATCATCTTTTTAATGGAAATTTAAAAAGAACATACCTATTATTTTTATTTGTATTTATTTGCATGTTTTAATTTTTGAGACAATTTCTCACTATACAGCCTAGGAACTCACTGTGTAGCCCAGGCTAACTTTTAATTGACAATTTTCCTGCCATAGCCTCCAAAGTGCAGGGATTACATCATGGACCACCATGACTGGGTTGCTTATAGTTCTTAACTGAAGAGGTTGGGTAAAACATCTACTAAGAACTACAAAGAAAATTTATTTCTTCATCTGTCAGTGTGGTGAGTTTATGGTGCTTTCTTAGGATTACAAAACAATCCATTGCATTCAGTTGAGGCTATAAATTCAGGCTTTCAGATTGCTCAGAAAACTGTTCAAGAAGGCAGCCAGCAGATTGTCCAATCTGGCTGTTCCACGTGCCAGGAGTTATTAATTATGGCGGTTCTAATAACAAGCACCGGAGAGCAGCAAACTCAAAACATGAGGGGAAAACAAAACAAAAGAAGACGGTGGTTTGCCTTAATGACAGGAAGCAAATGGCCACAGCTCCAGCACAAACCCTGCCAGCAACAGATTGCAGCTGTGACCGGGCATGGTCGCCATTACTACGGTGATCTGAGGACATGGAGTCCCAGAGGCCTCTCTCACATCTGCCATGAGCAATGAGGTCGCCTTCTTTCCTGTGCTTTTCAGGGATAGGTGAAGGAGGATTGGAGACATGAAGGGGGGCCAATCAAGATTTATTGTTCTAAGAATCATGGGTTATAAAGCTGTGTGGTATATTCTACAGATCAAATAAACCGCCCAACCCTAAACAGTCTATACATAAATAAACTGCATTCTAGAGAAGCTGAGTGGAATAACCCAAGTTATCAAACAATGGCAGAGCTGGATTTTCCCCCATTCACTTCTTCTCTAGCTAATATGAGACTCCTCTTCTTTCTGCCTAAAAGAATGGCCTGCTTTAGCTTCCTACCAACTCCCACAACTGCCAAAAGTCTCCTTGGGTAGAAATCTCATTTGGGTAGGTATCTTCATTTCACCTAGCATCATTCTCCTCTGATGCTCTCGGTGAGGACTGCTCATTATCCATCCTACTTTCAAGTCTTTTCTTGGTGTAAGGTTCAAAAATTTAGGATCTAAACAGAAGTGGCATTTCTGTCAGATGGCACATGGAAGCTTAGACGTTATAGAACAATCACCATGTTACCAATGAACTGGTAGGGCTGGTTACACAAAGGAGACACCAGATTTGCCTGGGGTTGTCATCCCTTGACCTACTAACATTTAGCCAACTGCTCAAGAGTCTCAAAGGACAGAGGCTTGTGCTCCTCTATGACCCACTGGGCCCCAAAGCAGATACTGGATCATGGTCATTTTTCTATCCTGATTGCTGTCTGGATGGCTCTCAGTACATTTGAATAAATAAATGGGTCTAGCACTTGGAGAGACAAGCATACTAATTAGAGCTCACACTCAGAGCCAGGGCAACCTGGGTTGTAAGACGACAAGAATTTTAGTGGAATGAGGGATCAATTTCCAACTTGAAGAAGGAAATAGACAAAATATTCACTGGGGAAATGATCATCCTCTTTAAGCAGCCAGGGGGCTAGCTCTGGGATGAAGTATCCAGGGGGCTAGCTCTGGCATGATGTAGCCAGGGGCCTAGCTCTGGGATGATGAACAGAAGCTAGCTCTCAAAGGCTTTGGGTGAGTATGAGAAGCTCTGGGAAAGGAAGGGACGTCCCATGTCTATTGAGGACACTCTCATTAAAGATACAAAAGGGAAGGAAGAACCCACCAGGAAGACAGCTGGCCACTTTAGAACTGAAAGGGACTGCTGTCACTGTTACAGGAGGCCACACGGAAGGTAAAGGGTAAACACACTAAGTTGAACTGGAGACAGTGGGTAGAAAAATTTGAGTTCAAGGGTAGGCCGAGTGTGTTTGCCCCTCCTAAGTTCCCTCTTCAT